CATTTCCCTTTTAATCTAAGTTTCACATGATTCTACTGAGTTTTCTTTTCTAAAGTGCCTCCAATCTTCATAACTATACCCTATTTTTTCTTTTTTCATGGCTCTGGCTTAGAGGCCATAGATTATTATCTGATTGCTTTTTTCATATACATTTAAAATTAATTTTCTCAATACCCCAGTAGGTGAGTTAGGCACTTCCCAGAGATGATGTTAACATGACATATTCAAAGACATCTAGAAGCCAGGAGTAAAAGTGAGCTAGATCAGGAAAAAACCCAAAACCAGTTTCAAATCTGTCCCTTAGTTAAAATCAGAAGGGTAGTTGCACAGTTTTCTGTAGGGTACAGTTAAAAAAAAAAACACACACCAAATACAAAAACCACTAGCCAGTAGGTGCGTTCAGGTCCTAGATCTGATTCTATCATTGATTTCTGGACACATCATTTATTCCCCTTGAAATTTGGGGGAAAGGGGAGTCTTAAAACTGGAAGGAGTTTTATGGCATTATCTAACCTGGTCTCTGCATTTTACAACAAAAGACATTGATATCAAGACTTACTGATTAGAGGCAGAGCCAGTAAAATACTTCTCTTAAACTTTTGTGATCTTTTTATTACATCATCTCAGTTGAGAAGGATAATGCTTGTTATTATGCAGCATATAGTAGTGTCTAAACGTAAAATTTTATTTTAAGATGAGGACATGGGGATGGGTATAGAAGACAGGAATCTGCACAGTGTGTGCAGAGACAGGAAGCAATCTATAAATGCTCCAATTCCTGTTCTCCAAAAACTTAGATATAAACAAAAAGATCATGGTCATTGCCACAAAATCACATCAGCAAATGGAGATTAGGACATTCCCACTGCCAGATTGTATGGGAAGGTGGTTGGATGTGAACTCTGATTGTAGACTGCCTGCCATCAAAGGTGGGTTCTATCACTTAATCAAGTTGTGTAATTGAGGCAAGTTTGTACCATTTACTCAGCGGCTCTGGGTCCAGAAGTAACACAAACTCCAGAGTCATTCTCCAATATTTGAGAAATTCTTAGGACAGTGTTTGGCACAGAGTAAACTCACAACGTAAGTGTTAACCTATAATTATTATTACTTGCTTTTTTCTTCGGTGGGAGGGCTAAATGCTATTCTTCTGGAGTACAGAAATCTCCATTTAAAATCCCATGGGCTAGATTAGAGATATCAGTTGGCTTAGTGAAGAATTAGAGATGGAAAGAGAAGATTTCTTTCCGGGCATCTCCGTCTTTATCTTTATCCCTTTAATTCTTATTAAATTCATAAAGCAGGCATTTGCTATTTGCATTCCACAGACCAGAAAACTGCCTAGAAGACTTTCTCTGCCAGAACTCCCCCACTGAGTTAGTGCGTCACCGAATAAAACTGGGACTTGCCCAGAGGTCCAGCAGTTAGGACTCCATCCTGTCACTGACGCTGGTGCAAATTCAATCCCTGGTTGGGGAAGCTAAAATCCCACAAGCCCGGGCCGCGGCCAAAAAATCGATCTAAGTCTACAAGGAAATAGACGAACGTCTTCTTCAAGTGGAGACTTCCTGGGCTTCGAGTTCTCTTTGCCAGGAGCCTAGGGAAAGGTGGGAGAGCGGGTGGTGCAGGCGAGGGCCCACATCCCTCTCCAAGGCCACCGAGCTGCATCCTCGCCCCTCGGCCTCTTTCCACGCCAGCCAAGCTTCGCTAAGAGGACCGGCTCCACGCTGAGGGAGGACCAGACTCCGGGTTTCCGTCGAGGAGGCCGCCGTGGCCTCTCCTGGCCTCCCACTCCCAAGTCGCCCTCAGGGGATCCGACTTCTTGAAGCAAGTCTACGGAGTTTAATTCCTTCATTTCTTTAGAAGCCACTTTGGGGTCAAAGGACAGAGAAGGGCAAGAGCTAGGAACAAGCAGCAGCGCGCAGGAGCACAGGGCCCGCCGAAGGCCCTGGCCTCGGGTACCCTTGCGGTCCGGCCGCACGCGCGCCGCCCGCCCGCACCCCGCCACCCGCTTCCCTTCCCGGAGGAGGCGTGGCCCGCACGCGCCGCCATCTTGGCGGCCTCTCTAGGCGCTCTGTTTACTACTCTATGGTCGCCCGCGCCCGCCCCGCCCCTCCCCAGTCATTGTCTGGAGGAGCCGCGGCGGCCGCAGCGCCTTCTCTTTATAAGCCCGCAGTGCCCGGATGTGAATGGATTACAATGTATCTTTCAGGGAAACCTATTATTATCAATGTGACTCCACGGGGGAGTCAATGGTGATGATCAGGAGGAGGAGCAGGATGAGACACCTCTAAACTTGGAACAAGTTTAAGACTTTATAAGAGGAGAAGAAAAAAAAAAGCCACCAACAAGATTTGTCTGAGGAAAAATTATCACTATCCTGTGTTGATATTTTTTTTATAAACAATAAGAAAAAGTTGTTGGATTTTTTTTTTTTAATGATTTCTTTTTTGGGGGAGGGAGTTTTGTTGCAGTTTTATGGTGGAAAATGCAAAAACCAGAGCCAGGTGCATAATCTTGTATTCTGTGGATATCCCTGGAACAGAACAGTTAAAGTACTTTTTTGGGGGATACACATGTGAGATACTCAGTACTTGCAGAAGATTTTTGTCTCTCTTTTTAAAGTCACTTTCCTTGGAATATTGTGAGCATTTTTGTGGCCACTTAAGGTAACGTTACAATTTGCTGTCAGAGTAAACTGTTTGTAATTTAATTTAATTTTTAAAATGTCGATCCCAGTGTTTTATTAAAACAAAAGGAACAACCTATTAAATTACTGCCAATGGGAAAAAGTGTGTGCATGCGTTTTGTGTATGTACTCGCACATCTAGCCATAACAGGGTTTATAGAATGTGTATTTTAGCACACGTTAAAATAGCGTCTGTTGCATATACTGGCTGAAGCACGCTTGTTATTACGAAACGGTAGAATTATGCAGCTTAATTTTCATCCTAAAAAGTGATGTGAAAAAGTATGTTTTAAGAGCATGCAGGGCCTGTAATGGTCAATGTTGAATGAAAAACTTACCGTGCTGGCGAAAGGGGACTTAGCGTGCCTAGGAACTCAAGTGTAAAAACAAAACAACATCTACCCTCAAAAATTGCCTTTTTTTTTTTTTTTTTTTGCAAAGTTCACAGCTATACTATTCTGTGACTTAAAAGGGAGGGGTAAAAAAAAAAAGTATGTAATTTGGGTTTCGCCTCTCCCCCCACCCCCCTAACGCAGAACTACCGATAGGAAAATCTCCCCAGTAAAATGTAGCTTGGTTTGTATCTGGAAAAGAAAGAAAAAAAAAATATTGTTCCTCTTGGCAAAGTCTTTTTGCATCACGTGTATTTGCAGCCTAGTATAAACTTGCTTTACCGTGTGTGGATGTGTGAGTGAGGGAACGGGAGAATCAGAGAAAGAAAGAAGTGAGGGGACGTTTCAAAGTGTGCCTCGGCTGGATGAAACGGGCAAAAAAAAAAAAACCCAAAACCCTGAAGGGTGCAGGCTTCAGATTGTAACTGACGGTCTGAGGGAAAATGAGGTGCTCGGTGAAATTTCGTTTGTATTTCTTTTTTTTTTTTGGCGAGGCGGGGGAGGTGTGGAGATGATTTTTTTTTTCCCTTTTCTTTCTCGGGGGTGGGGTGGCGGCGGGCGGGGGTCCGCATCCCAGCCAGCCCGAACCGCGCGCGCCGCGTCGCCCCGCCGGAGCCGCCCCCCCACCCATTTCTTTGCTGAACTTGCAATTCCGTGCGCCTCGGCGTGTCTCCCCCTCCCCCTCCGCCCGTCCCCTCCCCTCCCCGGAGAAGAGAGTTGGTGTTAAGAGTCAGGGATCTTGGCTGTCTGTCTGCGGAGCTGTAGTGGCGGCGGCGGCGGCGGCGGCGGCGGCGGGGACCGAGCGGGCGCGGGCGGCGGCGGCGGCGGCGGCGGCGGCGGGTAGACATGAACGCCGCCTGGGCGCCGGCGGTGCACCGAGAGCCCCTTCTCGCGCGCGGGCGGTAGGTAGCGGCGCCGAGCGCGCCGGGCTCGGCGGGGCCGGAGCGCCGGGCGGCGCGGGGGGCTCGGGCTCGGCGGCCCCGCGCGCGGCTCCGCGCCTCCGGCGCCGCGGGCGCCCGGTCTCCCCGGCGCTCCCGCTGGAGACACCCCTTCCCCTCCCGCGCTCTTCCCTCCCCCTCGTCCCTGCGCACCCCCCTCCTCCCCGCCCGGGCCCCCCCACGCCCTCCTCCCCGGCGCTGCCGCTCGGAGGGACCGCTGACTTTGCCAAGGGCCTGACTTTAATTTTTACAACCCTTTCTTTCACAAATTAGGGCGCTGGACAATTACAAGCCCCGACCCTCCACCGCGGGGCCGCCCCCCCCGCCCCCCCTTCTTTTCGCCGACCCTGTCACCCCTCCCCCTTTGGACGTGTTTTCACTCCAGAGACGCTCATCTTTAATTTCTTTATAGCTACTTTGAAACGCAGAGGGGAGTGGTGTGTGTGTGTGTGTGTGTGTGTGTGAGAGTGTGTGTGCGCGCGCGTGTGTACGCGAGTGTGTGTGTGTGAGGGGGGTGGGGTGGAGGGTGGGGGGGAAAGTTGAGACCGGATCGTTCGGAGTAGTTTCTCTTTTCTCTGTGATCCATTCATTTCTCGCTCTACCTCCTGTTGCATAAAATGATGCGCTGAGGAGCGGCAATTTTTTTTTTCCCCTTCCCGGATTTGGTTTTATAGTGGATGTTACCAGTTTTGATCGTCTCTTTGGAAATACAGTATCAATATCGCTTTTTTTTTTTTTTTTTTTGCTATTGCTGCCTATTCCATCTTAAAAAAAAAAAAAAACCCAACAACAACCCAGCAACTCTCCTATCCCTCCCTCCTTTCCACCTTAATCCCACCCGCCCCCACGTCCCCACCCCCATCCCCCCATCCCCCCCACCCCCAGTCTCCAAAAATCCGATTGTGTTTTCTCCAAGGATTGGGACTGGATTTTCTGATTGCGGTTATTTCCATGTTTCTAGGTTTGTGTGATTTTGCTAAAATGCATCACCAACAGCGAATGGCTGCCTTAGGCACGGACAAAGAGCTGAGTGATTTACTGGATTTCAGTGCGGTAAGAAAGAACGGTGGAAACTAACAACAGCTGTAAAACAAAACAAAACAAAACCAAAAAACCCAAGCACTTTGAGCTAGAAACCAATAGAATCTAAAGGACAGGAATAATTTTTAATTGGCTGAATGCTTGGTAAACGTGAAGGTCTTTCTGATAAGTTTTTAACTACAGTTTTTGGGTGTGATGGAGGATTCAGGCTTTTTTTTTCAGTCTGATTACTTGCTTTGAATTCACTACCCACCAAACCCCCAAATAATGGAGTCTCACCCCAGTGGAAGGGAAAAATAGACACCTCTAAACTGTAAACCACCCTTTAACTTGGCCTTATCAGAACCCTAAAAGTACTGGTACTTTGCGTGCTACTCATTTTATTTATTTATTTTTCTGAAAATGGAAAAGAGAAAATAGGAGACCTCAGTTGGCTCAAAGTTTTAAACTGATGATGGTTTGGAATCAGTAGGACCTGCCTTCTCCCACTTAAATCTTCTCCTGGGATTCTGAGAACTCGTGTGTATATGCTGAGCACACATTCTTTAGAAACCCTTTAGACTTTGTAAATTTCGTAGTGGGGCGATCAGCACAAAGCAGAACTCACACACTTGTGGAGTCTTACGGCTGAACTTGGTCCTTCTCCATCACTTTGCCTCCCTTCCCCAAACCAAGTCCCAGGCATATCAGGGGAATTAATTCATTTTTAATGCCAGATGAGTTTGGTGTCAGATGCATTTGCAAAGCAAAATGAAAAGAATCCACAAAACACACAAAATCCAAACCGCCTTCTAAGTGGGGGGCTCTCTTTTCTTGCTGCTGCTGCCGCCGCCGCTGCTGCTGCTGTTGCCGCTGCTGCTCTTCTAGACCTTTTGGAGAAATGGCTTTCGGAAGTTTTGCCAGGAAACGTAGCCCTAGGCAGCTTTTAGCCCCCTTTCTGCTTGCTGCCCTTCGTCCATTCGTTCCTTTGCTTTCCGCAGGCTCTGACTCAGGGAAGGTGCGCCTTATCCACTAGATAACGTCGAAGAAGAGGGAAACCAATTAGGGTCGAAATAAATGCTGGAGAGAGAGGGAGTGAAAGAGAGAGAGTGAGTGAGAGAGAGAGAGACAGAGAGAGAGAGGGGGAGAGAGTCTTGCTTCCAAACGCTCTCATGTTAGAGACGAAATGAGAATTTAGTGCAGGTGGCACTTTTATTTTTATTTGGGTTCACATATAACAGGCAAATCCTATACGGGATCGAAATGGACATTGCCACGTTTATGGCCAAGGTTTTCAATATAAAATAAACAACTTTTTTCTTCTCCTTTGTAAAACTCGTGTCTTCTAGAGAGCTCGCTGCCCTCCAAATCGAATCTTGTTAACATTATGGGGACTGTGTTGTGGTTTGAAATGTAGTACTGCCTAGTTCTGGCGATTTAATGAACCTGAGGAAAAAGAAAGAACAGAGTGGGAAAGGGGTGGGGGGGCAAGAGTGATTGGTAATATTGTGCCTGTTTTAGTTTTAAGTTGGATGGTGATGTATTTTACTAAAATGAACACTTAGCATAAACTGTACATTATATAGTGAGAGTATGAAAGGTCTCAGATGAGCTCTGAAGGCACGGATGTCTTCTTTTCAACAGTAATATTTCTTTGTTTCTTTTAGATGTTTTCACCTCCTGTGAGCAGTGGGAAAAATGGACCAACTTCTCTGGCGAGTGGACATTTTACTGGCTCAAGTATGTAAATTTTTTTCTTAGTGTGTAGTTAAATGTTCTTAGCTGTTTGTTCACTCATGGTATATTTTTGGCTCTGTTAAACTGTTCTGCAAAAGTCATTGAAATTTTAGCCTGTAATGATATGGTTATTTCATTATCCATTAGTAGCATAACTTAGGCAAAAATGTTATCTTTTGCAAAATTAAAAGTTTTTTTTTTTTTGAAGCAAGAAAACTGTCTCAGAATTCTGTCACTTAATTTAAAAGCAGTTTTCTGATACAGTTGTAATCAAACATGTGAAGATAAGGCAGTGTTAACATGGAGGAATAAATTAATGTTTCCTTATTGAAAATAGAGGGAAAAATCTGACTTTCATGAAAAGGTCAAATTCCTTGTAAATAATATCAAGTTTTCTGGGAACTATGTATAATTAACCCTTTTTAAAAAATGAGCACTTAATTTTGTAGATGAATGCTGCGTAGTAAACCATAGCTGTAAATAGACTCTTTTCTAATCTAAGAGCTGAATATGAATTCATTTGTATTTAAAATATCCTTTTTGGTGCTTTAGCTGTTTTTCTCCCCCTAAGTATTTACTTGGGCAGTGAATTTTTGCTATTTTTAAAGTTACAAATTTGGAAGGACTTTTACATTTTATAAATGAAAGACCTTTGGCTGATGCTTTCAAAAGACGTTAGCGGTATTCACAAAGGAATCTGTGTGTGCAATGATTATCTGGTATCTAAGGAGGAGTTTTAATAGGGGACTCTCTGAAGGTCTCTTACTAAAAGTGAAAATATGCTATTCATTTAAAAAGTTATTTTTTTGTCCAGTGAATTTCATATCAGAAGGCGGCATACATTGTTGCTTGCTGTCCTTTTAGGTTCAAGGCTTAAATCCATTTATGTCTGTTAAACAGCTATAGTATCTTAGGAGTTCTGGCAGTGGTACCTAACAGGACACTAGACAGAGTCCTGTTCTTAAGTCAGACTGGTAAATATTGACATCGTTTAACTATGAGATACCAGTGGAATTGTCTGTTAGCTGTTGAAGATAATTTCACATCTCTTAATATTCATTTGGTGCTGTAGCAATGAAAGAAACCTATTCATCTCTGTGATTTGTATAATTGGTATTTTTTTTCTAAAACTAATGGCTTTTAAAAGTTGCTCATTTCCAAATAAGTTACTTCTTCTTTTGCTGGCCCCATAAGACTAAGGGAATTATCTCTAAAACTCAATTTATGAAATATGAGATGCCTCCTATACTTATATCTTATCTTTTTTTGGGAGGAGTCCACTTTGATTAAAAGGACTCTTGACCATATGTTTGTGTTTTGACTGTCCTAGAACCTGTTATATTTTTAATTTGGGACTTACATTTTTTTTTTTGTTTTCATATTGTATCTTCCACATTTCTATATTGTGTTCTCTACACAGTTTTGAAGGAAAGAGGAGTGCAAGTGTCTGTTGTAGGCAAATTAATTTTTCATGTTAGTATCAAAACTAACTTTATCTCTGACAGTAGTTTTCCTCAAGATTTTCCTTAAGAAAATGTGTATTCAGTTGAAATCTGAAATTAGATTATGTCAGAAAGGCTCAGAGATAGACTGCTTTCAGAGTCAGTGCAAAAATACTCTTTTGTACTTTTTGTAAAAGCTGACACATTTGGAATAATTAAGTATATCAGTTTCAGTATGGTTTAATAAAGTAAGATTGATTTTAGAAGCATGAAATTGTGTTACATTTAAAAAGACTGTGCATCTTGGTCCCTTTTCTGTGTTCATATTTAAAATGAAGTCTTTGCTATGATGTTTAAGTGTTTACAGAGTATAGGCTTGATGAGTATGAATATGTATTAATGAATTTTGGTAAGTGGTCATATATTGAAACTTACACAGTTCTTAGACAGTATATCTGTATACATAAACCTGTCTTATACATACAGTTAATCTGTATAAGATAGAGACTTCATCCTTAGTGAGATAGGTTGTGATATTTCCAGTGAATATGCTATGATTATTTTTAAGGTGTTGAACTTTAAGTGACTTTGTACCAGCCAAAGGTGTAGTTTTCAGGGCCATGTGTTTACTTATAAAGGTGAAAAGTGTAGTGGCTATTCTGTTCTGGTGGCTGGATTGCAAATGCAGGGTATTCATCCAATGCAGTATGATGGGGACTGTAACATACAGAGTACAGATTGGAGTGTTGATTTTTCTCATCTGTCCAAGACATAGTAAGTGGCTTTGTTTCTACTCAGTAGCAAAGCTAAGTCCCCTTTTAAAGCACAAAAAATTAAAAAAAAAAATGAGAAAAACTGCATTTTGCCTCTTTACTGAAAGGATGAACTAGAAAACTTTGGACTGAGAAATAATTTTCTAAATGTACATCCGGTTAATATCCATTGTCCCGAGCAAGGGTGCTCAGATATCGTTCTCGTAGGTAGCTTTGAAACTTGGGTTCAGGGGAAAAAAGATTCAAAGTATAAGTGAACTGTTCATGTTGGGATAAACTGCTCTTGTTGTTTTCAGAGTGAGGCATGGTGATGTTTCATGCTTCAAGTTCTCTGTAGCTGTGAGTTCCATTCATATGTAGGACGCTCCTCGTGATGTGCAGTGTGAGAATGAAAATAAAGTGTGGCCATGTTGCCTTTAATCTTTCATTTCACAAACATGGTTTTCCCTACCACCTTAAGAAATGGTGAGGCTGCTAGGGAGAATGGAATGTAACCTGAGCTACAGCCTGACATTCCCAGGGAGCATTTTTCACATGAAAGGCTTTTGTCAACCCAGGAAAGGACCAGCCGTTTTTGTTTGATGTTTGCAGGTGTTCAGCCGAGAGCTCTAAAACAATTCAGCCATGATAGTTCAGAGTGTGGATGACCTTAACAGGGAGAACTGGTGGGCTCTGGAATTATTTGTAAGAAATAGTTGAAATCTATATGGTGACCTCTATAAAGGGATTGCAGATCCATTGTATCATTGATCTTAAAACAAGCTAAAAGCATCCACATGCCTGGATGACTGGAAAATTATTCTCATTAAAAAGTAGGATGGCCAAGTTACCCAAAGGGAAAAAAAATGCATTTAGAGTCTACGATTTATTGATGAACAGGGATTTAATTTTCTGATATAACAAAAATGCAGTTTTCCTTGGTCACCTTTGATTCTTTTATGAGCAAAAGATAAACAGACTAGCTTTGGCATCTTTTAAAAAGTAGTTTTAAAGTTGGGGCTCTAAAATTATCCATACTCAACAATAGCCCTGGTCACATCTGTTACAAGTATTTACACTTAGTCTGTGATGGATTCTACATCTTTCTCCCTCAGTTTAAAAGTTGAGCCTTTCCCCCCTGTAACTGTTTAGTTTTACTTAGGTGTTCAGCATTTGTTAGAGGTGCCAAGTGAATGGGTGTTTTAACAATTAACAGCAGCAATAAAACCCCACATCCCTGTCATGGTCATTTTTGGAAGCAAAAAATGTCTCTTGACATTCACACAAGTTTGTTCACCAATATCCACGTGACACCCAGATGACACATGAGTTTAGAAAATTCAGTAAGAGAAAAATATCGATCCAGTGGGTTGTTTTGTGTTGTAGAGAAGATTCAAATGGCCAGCCTCCTGAATTAATTCCCATCCGTACAGTTTGAGTTCATGGTTATGGTGTGAAAAAAAATTGGTCTCCCCCAAAGGTATTTGTGCAGTAGAGTTATTTAATTGTGTGTGTGTGTATCTGTTTTTAAACAGCCTTACTCTTAACAGTGCAGTTCATAATGGTTGTGTGGCTTTTTGTAAAACGAAGCATAAATTAACAGGTTAAAAAACAAGGACTGTGGTGTTAAACCCATTTCACTAGAATCATAGAATTTTGGGGGTCGGAGCCCCTTAGAAATACACAGCCCAGTGCCTTCACTGTACAGCCAAAGAAAACTGAGGCCCATGTTAAGAGGTTCTCAAGTGTGTGTTTATTTGCTATTCTAAAAAACAAGTTTTGATTTGCTGATTCTCTGTGGCCCTGCAAATCTTTTTATTGGAGTAACATTGGTTTCAGTCCTATGTTTTATTCTGTAATTTGTGTTGCATTACAGGGTCTCAGGATTTGTGTACTGATCTTTGTGCCTACAAATGCTTCTAAATGTATATGTGCCCTTTGATGGTTTTTTAAGGTTTGGAGCTGAATTTTGGATTGTTGATCGTTCCGTTTTGCCTGATCTGGCCTGTGATTATTTGCAGGATGTTAGATTGAATAATAGGGTGTGGATGGGCATGATACTGATTGAATTAAAGTGCTTCTTCCTATGCCAGGTGGTGTGCTGTGCACTTTATATTGTATTTTTTTTATCCTCACAAGAACCCAATGAGATGCCAGGATTACCATGCTCAATTCATAAATGAGGAAACCAAGATTCAGAGATGATAAACTACTTTCTTTCAAGCCAGCCAGGAATGAGTTCGGTTCTAAACCTAGGTCTATCTGCCTAGCTCAGTGTCTTTTCAAACACACACACACACACACACACACACACACACACACACACACACACACACACACACACACACGAGGCTTGGTGTATGATTCTATTCCTGATCATTAGAATAGATAAACATTTTTAAAAAACATGTTTACACTAATGGTATAAGCCATGTCCATTATTTTTCCTGCTTTATCATCCAAATAAGCTAGCTTTGTAGTTTATGTTGGATTTCAATGTGACTTAGTATCTCTCTCATATTATTATTATTATTATTATTATTATTTTTTTAACCAGGAAAATATAGTGGGTATTTTCAAAGTTGTGACTTGGTTCTACTGTAAATTAGCAGTCTGCTTGGGTACCAGTAAAAATATTTTGTTTTCAATTTTTATGAACCTAATCAAACCCCAAGTTGAGGTAACCAAGCTTGCTCTGTTAATATCTTAAAAAAAAAAAAAAAAGGTTTCCTATCTTTAACTGTAAAAGAAAGTCTTACAGTTTCTTGTTAGATCTTTGAAACCTAATATTCCAGAACAAAAATCTTGA